ATCAAGAACAAAGTTTAACACTACTATGGACCAGTTCCTAAATCTAGTATCTTATTGTCTTTAGTTGAGTTGTAACTTTGTAATTGTTCTTCATTGTAACTCCTAATTTTTCTTAGCTAGAAGCGTTGCTTAGGAACCCTTTGTAAAACCATAAACCCTTTGTGTTTGTGTCGTGACTAGAGTTAGTCATGAGTTGAAGTCTTTGTAATAGGTGTATTGCAAAGTAGCTTGTTGTAGGTGTATTACGAGTTAGTGAGGGATTAAGAGTTTAATTCCTAGATTGCATAGGTAGTAATCTTAAAGTTGCTCATAGTGAAGTTGAAATCCTACCAGTGTAGGTCGTGGTTTTTTATCTTCTTGAGCAGGGATTTTTCCACGTAAAACTCCCTGTCTTATTTACTTACTGTTTTATTAACGTTCTCAGTGGAAACTCATAGAGGACCTGGTACTCTATAGTTTGGTGAGCTCATATGAACTATCACTACCGATATGGGGTGGCACTGAAAATAGGGTCTAAGCTTTCGTGAAGCTATAACCAATGCTAGAGCCAATTTTTCAAGGTGGGGGTAGCTCGTTTCGACATCAACAAGGGTTTTGCTAATATAATAAATTAGGGATTGCGTACCTTTAGTCTCGCGGACCAGCACCGCACTTACCGCGACTTTTGAGACGGCCAAATATACTAGGAGGCGCTCGCTGGGCTCTACTTTCGCAAGTAGTGGGGGCGAGGACAGGTATACTTTTAGTTCTTTCAAAGCATTGATGCATTCTGAGTTCCACTGGAGCCTATCTTCTTTTTTTAGCACGTTGAAGAATTTGTGGCATATGTCGGCTGACCGCGAGATGAATCTTGATAGAGAGGCTATGCGGCTAGTCAGTTTTTGCACCTGTTTTTTGCTGGTCAACACCTCAGGTATCCCTTCAATGGCTTTGATTTGATCTGGATTGACCTCGATGCCTCTTTGTGACACCAAGAAACTGAGAAATTTGCCTGAGGTTACGCCGAAGGCGCATTTTTCAGGGTTTAGTTTCATGCCATACATCCTCAGTATACTGAAGGCTTCCTTTAGGTGATCAATGTGGTCTTCTTTTATTTTTGATTTAACCAACATGTCATCAATGTAGACTTCCATTGTTTTGCCGAGTTGATCTTTGAACATCTTGGTGATCAACCTTTGGTACGTTGCCCTCGCATTCTTCAACCCGAACGACATGACTCTGTAGCAGTACGTTCCCTGATGAGTGATGAAAGTAGTTCTCTTGGTCCTCTTCCTCCATGAGGATTTGGTTGTAACCCGAGTAGGTGTCCAAGAATCTTAGCAACTCGTGTCATGTTGTTGCGTCGATGAGCTAGTCGATGTGTGTCAATAGGAAGGAGTCTTTTGGGCATGCCTTGTTTAGGTCTGTGAAATCTACGCACATTCGCCATTTTCCATTTTTCTTTTTTACCATGACCGCGTTAGTAACCCATTGGGGGTATTTTGATTCTCGGATGGAACCTTTGGCGAGGAGCTTCTCTACTTCGTCACTTACGGCCTCGTTGATTGCATCGTTGAATTTCCTTCTTATTTGTCGTGCTGGTGGATAAAGTGGGTTGACGTTCAACTTATGTGTGGCCACATCTTTTGGGATGCCCGACATAACTACATGGGAGAAAGCAAACAGATCGGTTTTGTTAATTAAAAATTTGTGAAATTTACCTGGTTCTGAGAGTTTATGCCCGATGTAAGCCGTTTTGCTGCGATCGTCGTTGTATAGTTGGACGAGGTCGGGATCTTCTACTGTTGTTCGGCTGCTTCCACGGTGTCGGGGTCCCTGATGACGTCTGTTTGTACGTCGAGTCCATTTCCCGACTTAGATAATTTCTATGTCTCTGCGTACGCTCCCTTCATCTGTTGGGTGTATGTACAATCTTGGGCGATGCGATAACATTCTTGGGCAGTGCATTATTCGCCCCGGATACTGAATATTCCCCATGGAGTAGTGAACCGGATTACTTGCTAGAGGCTCGACGGGATAGCCCTCATGGCGTGTATCCATAGCCGCCCTATGATGGCGTTGTAAGATGTGTCTTGGTTCATGACATGGAATGTTGTTTCCAGGGTGACGCCCCTAGCCAGAACGGGTAGCGTTATCTCCCCGGAGGTTCGCTCAACTGCATTGTTAAAACCTGCTAGTGTTATGCAACGCGGTATTATCTTGTCCTCGAGCCTCATTTGTGCGAGGACTCGAGGGTGGATAATACACACGCCGCTTCCGTCGTCTACCATTCTTCTTCTTACATCAGTGTCTAAAATACGTAACATAATAACAAGAGCATCGAAATGAGGGAAAGTCAAACCGTCGGTATCCAACTTATTGAAGATGATACTGTCTCCGAAATCATCGTATCGTTCGTGGGTGATCGACCGTTTCAATTTATGCGTAGTGGTGAACTTCACATGGTTGATCGTTGCTTCGTCGCCTCTATCGATGATCATTTGGATTGTGCGAGTGGGAGAGAGTGGCTTAGGAGGTCCCTGGTGTGGTTCACGTCCACGGGCAAAGTTGGCTCGTCCGCGATCACTCATCAGTTCCTTCAGGTGCCCTTGGTTTAACATTCTCACTACCTCTTGTCGCAAACCTATGCAATCCTCGGTTTTGTGACCTCGTTCCTAGTGAAATTCATAGAGGATGTTCGACTTCCGAGTATTTGGGTCGGATTTCATATTTTGTGGCCGTTTCACCTTCGTGTCGAGCTTCTCTAGTGCGTACACTATTTCTGAGGAGAAAACACAAAAATTATGAGCGGATAAGAGTGGAGGCGTACCTCTTTCGTTTCGATGAGTCCCTGTGTGCGGCTTGGGCGGCCTTTCCCTATATCGAGGAGGTGGTGGGACGGTTGTTCTGACGTAGGGATGATGTCTTTCTCGGCTGAGACGGGGGCCTAACTGATCCCTTCGATCGTTGTTACGATGATTCTGCTTGAACTGATGTTAGCCGTTGGATTGGTCTATTAAGGTCGTCCTCGCCGGCTCTCACCTCGCGCAATAGGCATTGTGGATTTTTTTCCAAGTTGTGGGAGGGTATTTCATGAGCCTGCTTAATAGTTTTCTGGTTGCTCTCGACCCATTCCTGCTCAACCCGTTCTGGAAGGCCGCTACCGCCATCCCTTTTGATACATTGGGTAGGCTCATTCTCACCCTGTTAAACCAGTCGAGGAAGTTCCTGAGTCCCTCGCCAGGCGATTGCCTAACGGCGAATATGTCATTCACCCTATCTTTCGCCTTCTTAGCCCTTCCATGGGCAGTGACAAACTTGTCGTCCATTTCCTCGAACGTTGCTATTGACCGCGCCAGCAGTCGCGAATACCAGGTTAGGGCTCCCCCTGTTAGGGTTTCGCCGAACTTTTTCAGTAGCACCGATGGTACTTTCTCCTTTGATAGATCGTTTCCCTTCACCGTTGTAGCGTAGTGGACGATATGATTTTCTGGATCTGTAGTACCATCGTATATCTTCAGGTACGGTGGCATTTTGAAGGTTTTGGGAATGGCGTATGGAGCCGCTTCTTCGATGTACAGTTGTTTGATGAATCGACCAACGTCTCATTTTGGTAGTAACTTTGGGGCACCTGGTATATTGTCGACCCTTTCTTGGTATTCTTTCATCTGGTCGCGGAGCGCCTTGTTTTCGTTTTTCATTTCTTCCATTTTCTTTAGGACGGCTGCGAGCGCATCGTTACTTGCATCCATAATGGGGTAAGTGTTATCTGTTTGAGGAAGGAGCTGCTCGCCAGTAGTTGTTACGATGTCTGCTTGCGCGGTGTTGCCATTCTCCCTTTGGGTAGGTCTATCGAGTATATTGTTTAGAGTGCTTGTCAGCCACTCTTCCAGTAGTTTTTTCACTGCTGGTGGTGCTTCTTCAGTTGTGGATATAGAGGCTCCCCTTTCGCGTGAAACCGTCACGCTTTTGTGAGAGGGAGGTGAAATACTTCGCCTGGGCATAACGTTTGGTGTCATATTCTCGTCGTCTCCCCTGCCATCTTCGTTGATGGTGTTCAGAATGTTGGTAGTGACGCCTGCTATCGCCTTCAGTCTCGCATCTCTCTTTCCTACCATCGTTAGTTTGTGCAAAACGTGGAAGAAATGTTTTTTTTTATGATTAGAAAGAACTATAGTTTCAACTAAAACGTCCCCACAGACGGTGCCAAATTGTTTGAGCAAATAAATGCTAAACCAATTAGTAATAAATTAATAGGGTGAATCTCAGTTGAGCTTGATATATTCCTGACCAAATTGAGCGAAATTCTTGTATAGCAAGAAGAGTTTAGGAGCATTAATCAGTGAACTTAATGTGCTATGATTGACAAAATATGTAATATCATAAATATGCAATAAATGTGGGAAACAACATGGGTTGTAGAGTAAAGGAACTGTTACCCAATGATTGTATGATTGGGTGCTTCCTATCTCTGACGACGTGAAAAGATAAGCAGTTGACATGAATGTGGGATCTTGAGGTTTATGGATGAAGGTTAAACAACATGTGCTTGAATAAAGTGAATAAGACAACTCTTTCGTATATTCTTTTTCTCCCTTTACAATGTGTTTCAGTTTTTAAAAAGGCAGATCCCCCCCCCCCCCCTTGTTCACTATCCCCTCCTATTTATAAGGGACATTCCTTAAAAAACCCTAAAAAGTATAACATAAAGAATATCCAAGGAATATTCTTCCTGTCTCTTTCTAAGTTTAAGCTACCGTTATTATCTTATCTCAACTGTCCGCTTCTCGTCGTCGGCCTTTATCACAGCGACAGTCAGTCGTTGTGTCGTGGTCGACCCCGTCCTATGTCTTGCTTATCCGTTATCGTGGTTACCAAATTTGGACCTATGCACCTGCTCCAAATTTTTTTTAAAAGAAAACAGAAAAAATGAACTTTAAATTTGGTATACAAGTTTATGAGCAATTAGGCAAAGTAGGATTAGAGGAGACGGGTAGAAATAGATGATTTGGTCAAATATGACGGTGGTCCCCATACTTTACGAGTAATGAGAAAATTAAGATGGCGCAGAATCAAATCCCTTTCCAATAAGGTCCGCACTTCAATGCGTTAATGTCCATCTTCTCCCTAAAGCATAAGATTCCATTTCACAACTTTGCTTAATTTGCAATCTATTTTGCAATTTGCATCTACAACTCTTCTGCAATCTCTTGTTCTATCTGTCTTCCTCGCCCTTTTATTTATTGGCAAAGAAACACATGTAAAGCATACAGAATTGCTTATGCACGTAGTTTGTTTTTAGAGAAGTTGCTGCAGCAACATTTGTCTTTTCCGCCTATCTTCGAAAATTGCTTTTGTCTTCATTTCTTAAACACCTTTTTTTCTTTCCCCCCTGGCCTTTTCACATGATCCCGATTGACGCGCAGAAACAGCCACGGTTAGAAAAAGTAAAGTGTTGATGTAAAACTTAACCCTGGTGAGCAAAAATCATGAAAAAACTTTCTCTATTAGATTTAGTTAAAATCCTACCAATACATAAAGATTCCAAATTTATCAGAGCTTAAACGAGTGGAGAAGATTTTGGTTTTAATTGAAATTAATTATGGTGAAGGAAGCAAAAGATTCATCAATACCCACCACCCACCGGTGCTTAATTGTGGGGAATTACTGCCACGACGTTCTGATTAAAGACGACGTAGTTATAGCGGAGTCACTCGGCGGCGCAGCTTCCTTCATCTCCGCTGTCCTCGACGGCTTGTCCATTTCCTCCGACTACATTTCTAAAGTGGGCACCGATTTCGTGTACTCCGTAAATCACCGGCCGATTACGTCAGCTTCTTCCAAAACCACCGTGTTTCACGCCTATTTCTCAACCGAAACCAAACGCCAAGATCGGATCCTAAAACGGATCAGTGCATGCGACCCGCTAACTCCCTCGGATCTTCCCAACTCAAATTTCGATTTTGGTTTGGCTGTAGGTGTTGGTGGGGAGATTCTGCCCGAAACCCTAGAACGAATGATTGATATATGTAAAGTTGTGTTTGTAGATATCCAAGCTTTAATTCGGGTATTTGACCCGGTTGATGGAACAGTGAATCTTGTACATTTGGATCAAACCGGGTTTGGGCCTGTATTGAAAAGAATCGGGTTTTTGAAGGCGTCCGCGGAGGAGGCACCGTATGTAGATGTTGAGGAAGCAAGGAAATGGTGTTGTGTGGTGGTGACTAATGGGAAAGAAGGGTGTACAGTATATACTAAAGATGAAGAATTGCCCGTTGTGCCTTTTTCAGCTTTTCAAGTTGATCCAACAGGAGCTGGGGATAGTTTTCTTGGAGGTTTAGTTGCAGGGCTTGTTCATGGTTTGAATGTAGCAGATGCTGCATTGCTGGGGAACTTTTTTGGATCACTGACTGTAGGGCAAATTGGGCTTCCCAAGTTCCATTCGCGGTTGGTACAGGTTGTTTAGATACTGCTGCTGATTATGCATGTCATTTGTTGTTTGACATTTTTATTTGTTGAACCAGTGGTTTTGTAGTGCTTGAATGCTTTTATGAGCTTGTTGATAACTGAAATTGGCACCTTCTTGCTGTAGATCAATAGAACTAGTTGAACTATGTTTAATTCAAGTTAGAATATAAAATGCATGCATAGTTTTCTTTCCTATCTGAATTTGAGTTGTAAGTAATAGGTATCAAAACCAAAATGATAGTAGGAAGAAAACACTTATGAAGAGTTGAGCTTTGTTTTATAGAAAGGACGTCTAAGAATTTGACGAAAAACACACAGATCTATAACAGTATACTCAAGATATGACATAACTGCAAAGACAAATGAAAGTTCAGACTTCAGACTTTTAGCTGTCACAAAATTTGCAACAGTTTGTTACGGAATACCATGCTCTAAGTTCATAGTTGTTTGTGTTGAAGATGTTGCCTAATTATGTTCTAGTCTGAGTGAGGAAGAATTAGAATGGTTTATAACTGGACTGTCATATTGTGGTTAATCTAGTTTTCTCCCGGTGCCATAATATACAATTTGAAATTTGAAAATAGTTGAAGTGATGCTTTTAATTTGAATGACATTTAAACACGTATAAAAGTCTGCTGCTGTATGACGGCTATGTAACACTGACAGCAAAACTACATCGGCTACTATCCATTTGGATACACCTTTCAATTCTCTGATTTTGTCTTTAATAATAGAAAAATGAGGAAGAGCCAAAATGCCCATAAGACTTCTTATCTTTTGGGATGAAATCAATTTTCTTCTGCATGTGTCAATAGAATGTTACGATTTGTTATTGATGCTTTTTCCATATTATACTTTTCTTCCTAGCGCTGTTAAGATATGTGGAATTACATTTAGTTTTGTGCTCTTTCTTTAAACAAGAAAAGAAAGTTTCAACTATTAGGTGATATCTATTTCCTTCGCCTTCCATTGCTTTTTAAGAAAAGTTTAAGATATTTCTATTCTTTGATAGTATGCTTAATGCATATCCAGTATAATATCTCTGGTTAGATAGTGAGATAAAACCTTACATGTGAAGGATCACCTTATCTCCTTGGTCATGATTTTACCAAAATATATGTATCTTTGATGTGGACAAGAGTTGATGGAATATTAAGGTTGATGCACATAGAGTGGGGAAGAGAGTGCAGTATTTGAGGTGGGTATTAGCAGAATCTCAATGTGCTTAGTCATTCTGTATATCCCAATTCCTTATACATCTTGATGCACTCCCCTTATAGCTTAGTTCATAGAAACTGCGAAAGCTAGTAAGTCGATTTGGAAATGAACTTCTGAAGTGAAAATTTCTTGCAGTCTCCAATCACAAATAATAGAAGAGGGATCATGACCATCCGTTATGTGAATAGCAATCTATCAGAGAACTAAATTTGTATGCTGCAGTATACTAGTGATCATGTATCTTGTTAGTTTATCTAGTTTCCACTTATAATATAGAAATGTGGAGGTATTTTACTTGTTCCCATCAGACGTAGATACTTTTTGCCTGTATCGAGCTATTGTAGTAGGAATTTTGGCTATGGAACCTAGTAACCAACAATCGCTGCTTTATGTTGTCATTGGATTTACCGCAGATGAAATAGAAGCATCAGGTTATTTAAAGTCCATATCAACAATCACTTCTTAGACAAGTTCTGATATGACAGCTCTTTCTAGAGCAAGAATGAGTGACAGGCACCAGGATGGCTTTCTTATTGAATTTTCTCTTCTTGGCCTGCTTACTCGTCCTATATCCTTTTCCTCTCTTAGGTTATAGAGACGTATTTGCATAGTATTGTCTTAGTGCCCTTTCACTTATTTGTTGCCTCTTACGATGCTGTTATTACCTTTCTGGCTTCTTTTGTTGTTACAAACCTTTTCCTTTGTTTCTTTTCTGATATTATTG